TACATATGTTCCCATATCTCTTCCCTCTTGCGTCTCCCTCCCTCCCACCCTCCCTATCCCACCCCTCTAGGTGGTCACAGAGCACCGAGCTGATCTCCCTGTGCTATGTGGCTGCTTCCCACTAGCTGTCTATTTTACGTTTGGTAGTGTGTATATGTCCACGCCACTCTCTCACTTTGTCACAGCTTACCCTTCTCCCTCCGCATGGATTCTTTTTTTTTTTAACATCTTTATTGGGGTATAATTGCTTTACAATGGTGTGTTAGTTTCTGCTTTACAACAAGATGAATCAGTTATATATATACATATGTTCCCATATCTCTTCCCTCTTGCGTCTCCCTCCCTCCCACCCTCCCTATCCCACCCCTCCAGGCGGTCACAAAGCACCGAGCTGATCTCCCTGTGCTATGCGGCTGCTTCCCACTAGCTATCTACCTTATGTTTGGTACTGTATATATTCTTGACAGAGCGGGTATGCTGCCTTGGTGCTGGGGAGAGAGCCACCTGCTTGCTCCCTGACTGCCAAGTTGTCTCCTGTGGGTACCCTGGCGGCTTTCTGCTGCTGGGGTCACGGCCGCCTCAGAGTTGGGTGGTCTTTAAATGATTACATCCCATTGATATCCTTCAACCATCTTATGGCGGGAAAAATGGAATCTGTCCAAAGGGCGCATCGGTTCTGCAGAGAGTGGATCCTGAGGTCTGGCTGTGGCTCCTCTGGCCCCTCTCCTCCTGTGTTCCCATCTCCCCACTTCCTCCAGATGCAAGTCATTCAGCTGTTCTTATTGAGTTGTGTCCTGGGCCTGCCAGGCCGGAGGTGTGTTAAGACACACCTGCAGAAACAGACAAAGACCACCCAAATGAGAACCAGCAGAGGCTGTTCATTCAGAGTTCGCTGTAGCCAGGGAGTCAGCCACTGTCACTTGCATTTGGCAGAGACTCAAAGGCAGGCAGAGGAGTGGGGAAGCTTCGTAGTGGATGAAAGGGAGAAGGCTTCAGGTGGGCCTGATGGCAGGCTATTGGCCTGGGGAAGCTGGAGGCGGGCGGGCCAGCTAGCAGCAGGGTGTCCTATGGGATTGGTTAGGATGCACATCTGTCTGTCTCTGGTTGGTCCTGAGTGGGATGTTGGGACAAAAATTTAGGGAAACTGTCAGTTAGTAATCAAGTCCCAGCCATTTGGGGCCAACTGTTACAGGGGGTATTCTTTGGCTTCCTGGATTGTCGATGGAATAGTAGTCTGACTTCCTACAAGCCTGACTTACAGAAGACTAGCTTCCTGGGCTGGCTGCTTTACTAATGGTTTGGTTTCTTGGGCAGGATGCTTCAGGTTATGAGTCCCAGTTCTATCTTTATACTTGGTCTAGCCATTGTCTGTGTGTATATTCAGTCTCTCACAGCCTGCCTTTCAACTCAATTCATTAGTTCCTCCTGAGCATCTGTTTAGGGCTGGTGTGAGCACGAACAGGAAATAACATGAAAGCCCAAATTCGCTGGGCACTTAGCCCCTGCCAGCTCCACACTGAGGGTTTTACACATGTCATCTCATCTAATCCTCATAGCACCGATGTTTGGGAAGGATAAGGAAACCAGGACCTAGACCTGGTCCTTGAGGAACCCACAGTCTCTCAGGAAGGCAGGTGTAGGAGCAGACAACCACTTTATAATGTGAGGGCGCATTTACTCAAAGTCTGGTGACTCTGCGAGGTCAGTCTTCTTATTATCCTTGTTTTATATGAGGAAACTGTGGCATAGAGAGCTTAAGTAACTTGCCTGAGGTCACACAGTGAGAGAGAATAGGGTCAGGACTGTGGGTCCAGATCCAGAACTCCTTTATAAACTACTAATGGGAGTAAAGTGTATGCACAGTTTTGCAACTTGTCCCTTTTACTTAGCAATATATTTTAGGAACTGGTTCACGTTGGTAGAGTAAGAGCCACCTACCCTTTTCATTGGGGCAGAATGGCTAGTGCTTCATTTCAGTCTGTCCCAGACTCCTCAGTTAGAAGAGTTTTCTCACCCCTTCCCTCTGTCCACCCAAGGAGTGGATGTGGCTTTCGGAAACTTCACTTCTTTCCCCTCTGTTCCCGGTGGGCAGCAACTGTCTCTGTGTGAAGAGTCTGCAGTGCTGAGTATGGGCCACTGGAAGGACAATTATTGTTCCACCTGACCCACTGACTCTGCCCTGCAGGCGGGCCCTTGCAGGTAGGAAAGTAATTGCTCATTGATGCAGTGTCGCAGCCAAGGTGCTGATTGACCCTCAGTGGGCAGGTGTTTTTGGAGTTGGCACATTCCTTTACCACCAGGCTGCGTAATTACTGCAGGCCGGCCTCATCTGTCCCTTAATGTAATCAGCTGGCCTCGTCTCCGCTGGGGTCAGCCTGAGGCCTCTGAGTCAGCCCTGACAATTGTC